TGATTATATTTTATTTATATATATATATAATATATATATATATATTATATATATATATATATATATATACACACACACATTTGTGTATGTTATACGTATATATACATATAAATAATCACACACACACACCGACGTGTCCATTACGAATTCACCCCATAAGCAGCGGAGAGGCTCACCTTCCGTGTTCATGCTGACGGCCAGGCACTTCTTGAGGCGGCAGTGCGGCACAGAGTTGCGCCTCGCCTTGTCCACGATGCACTCTCCCTTCCCGGCTGCGTGCAAAAAGAAAGAAAATTAAGAAAGAAAAAAAAGAGATGCGAAGGAGTTATTTGGAAAGAAAGAAAATTAAGAAAAAAAGATGCGAAAGAGTTAATTGGAAAGAAAGAAAATTAAGAAAAAAAAGAGATGTGAAGGAGTTAATTGGAAAGAAAGAAAATTAAGAAAAAAAAGATGCGAAGGAGTTAATTGGAAAGAAAGAAAATTAAGAAAAAAAGAGATGTTTTTGAGTATATGTTTGTCTGAGAGAATGATAAGCTAGTTGATATAAAGTTGATTATGATTTTATAATGATTGCAGATATTTTATGCATGTAAATTTTCATTTTTTGTGGCCAAGCTAACTCACAGAAATATAAATTTACAGAATGTAAGCATATTAACATAAACACATTTACAAAGATATATCAATAAGCAGATGATTAGACGGGCCTTTCTCCCTCCCTCCATCTATCTATTCATCTGTCTATTTATCTGTTTATCTATCTATTTATCTGTTTATCTATCTATCTATTTATCTGTCTTTCTATCTATCCACCTATCTATCTATCTCTCTATCACCTATCTAATCTATCTCTCACCTATCCATTATCTATCTATGAATTCATCCCTATATCTATCTATCTATCTATTTATCTATTTACACACGCGCGCGCGCACAGAAGGAAGCACACTCGAACACGCCGACCCAGGCACCCCATTCTCCGAAATGATTTTGTGATATCACTTTTTATCCACTTCCATGTCTATTATTCCCCTTTCTTCCAGATTTACTCTCTCCTCCTTCCTTGCTTACTCTCTCTTCCTCTTTCCAAGGTAATATCTCTCCTTCTTTCGTGTTTATTCTCCTTCCTTCTCGCTGCTCCTTTCTTGTAAATTCTCTCTCCTCTTCTCTTATTTACTATATCTCCTCCTTTCTTGCTTACTATCTCCTTTCTTATTTACTCTCTCTCCTCTTTTCTTGTTAACTCTCTTTCCTCCTCTCCTTCCTTGTTTACTCTCGCTCCTCCTTTCTTGTTAACTCTCTCTTCTCATTTCTTATATACTCTCTCCTTTTATCTACTCTCTCTCTTGTTTACTCTTCTCCTTTCTTATTTACTCTCTCTCCTCTTTTATTTACTGTCTCTTTTCTTATTTACTCTCTCTCCTTCTTGTTTACTCTCTCTCCTCCTTTCTTATTTACTCTCTCTCTCCTTTCTCCTTTCTTTTTACTCTCACTCGCTTTCGTTATTTACTCTCTCCTATCTTATTTACTCTCTCTCCCTCCTTTCTTGTTTACTCTCTCCAATATAATTTACTCTCTCTCCTCCTTTCTTATTTACTATCTCTCCTCCTTTCTTATTTACTCTCTCTCCTATCTTATTTACCTTCTCTCCTTTTTTATTTACTCTCTCTCCTCCTTTCTTATTTACTCTCACTCCGCTTTCGTTGTTTACACTCTCTCTTTACTTGGGCTCTTTATATGCTTGACAATTGAGATGTTATTGATTACCTTAATGGGACGGGTATGAGTCATCCAAGACAATTATGAATGAATTTTGTAAGAAATGCGTAATTAAAGGAGAGAGAGAGGGAGCGAGGGGGAGGGAGAGGAGAGAGAGGAGAGAGGGAGAGGGAGAGGGAGAGGGAGGAGAGGAGAGGGAGAGGGAGAGGGAGAGGGAGAGGGAGAGGGAGAGGGAGGAGAGAGGAGGGAGGGAGGGAGGGAGAGAGAGGGAGGGAGAGGAGGAGGGAGGGAGAGAGAGAGAGGGAGGAGGAGGGAGGGAGGGAGAGGAGGAGGGAGGGAGAGGAGGGAGGGAAGGGAGGGAGAGGAGAGAGGAGGAGGGAGGGAGAGAGGGGAGGAGGAGGGAGAGAGAGGGAGGGAGGAGGGAGAGGAGAGAGAGGGAGAGAGAGGGAGGGAGAGGAGGGAGAGAGAGGGAGAGAGGGAGAGAGAGAGAGAGAGAGAGAGAGAGAGAGAGAGAGAGAGAGAGAGAGAGAGAGAGAGAGAGAGAGAGAGAGAGAGAGAGAGAGAGAGAGAGAGAGAGAGAGAGAGAATGAGAGAATGAGAGAGAGAGAGAGAGAGAGAGCAGAGAGAGAGAGAGAGAGAGAGAGAGAGAGAGAGAGAGAGATGAGAGAGATGAGAAGAGAGAGAGAGAGAGAGAGAGAGAGAGAGAGAGAGAGAGAGGAGAGAGAGAGAGAGAGAGGAGAGAGAGAGAGAAAGAGAGAGGAGTTCGAGATAAGCGGAAGAGTAGAAAGTAGAATGAAGCGATATATAAAGAGAAAATAAGGAAAAAAAACTAAACGAGAAAATACCAACAAAGCAAAAAAAAAAAAAAGAAAAAAAAAGTAAAAAAAGTAAAAAAAAAAAAAAACAGATAGAGAGAGAGAAAAAAAACTCGAATTTTAACCCAACAAGACCACGGAGCAATCCAAGGGCAAGATTCTTGAGCGAGGAACAAGAAAGAACTGAGCAAGACATAAATAAACATTCGGGGCAAAAATATATTCATCATGCACGCGCATGGTGACCTCCGTGACGCCAAAAAATTAAAAAAAAAAAGAAAGAAAAAAAAAGACATTGAAAAAAAAGAAAGAAAAAGAGAAAAGACATTACTCTGCTGATCTTTTTATATGTATTTTTTTTATTACCTGAATTTCTCAAAGGATTGGGAATTTGCTGTGAATTTAACCGCGGGTCTACACCGGTCCTCCCCGCCCCCCCACCCCTCTCCCGTGCTATCGCCGCGGTGAAAATAACTTCCGAGGGAAATTATGTGCGAATACCTTATCAATAATCATAGTAGGAAAAGACGATAATATGCGTTTATTTTCCATCTCTCTCTCTCTGTCTGTCTGTTGTCTGTTTGTCTCTCTCTCTCTCTCTCTCTCTCTCTCTCTCTCTCTCTCTCTCTCTCTCTCTCTCTCTCTCTCTCTCTCTCTCTCTCTCTCTCTCTCTCCTCGTTCTCTAATTCTCTTCTGATATCGTACTCTCTTCTCTCTCTCTCTATTTCGTTCTCTCTCTCTCCTCCTCCCCCCTCTCACTCTTCCGACGGCGCAAAAACAAAAGGAGAAGAAGGTATAATTTAAGATAATTTCAGTTTGCGCGGGAAAGTTTCGGTGACGGAGTGTTCGGTCGATAAGGCTGCTGATGGCGCAATAACATCGATTCTAATTATTTCGTCCGATTTAAATATGTGACGTTTATCACCGAGAGAGAAATTGCAGTTTGTGATATGTTAGTGTGATTATGGGTGTTTTTGATTATCGTGAGTTTGTCATTATTGATAGAGCTTGCGGAGTCTAATCGCTTTTCTCATTTTCTCGTTTTTTTTTCGCAGGCTCTCACTGTTTTTTCTTTTACCGTCTCCGATTTTTGCTTCCATCCTGTCTCTCTCTCTTCTCTCTCGCTAGCGCTCTCTATTTATCTATTTATCTATCGGTTTACCCATCTCTATCTCTCTGTCTGTCAGTCTATTTATCCCCTTCTCTCTATTTCCCTCTCCCTCGTTATATCTCTCTTCCTCATTCCTTACCTCCTCATATCACCCATTCCCCCTACCCCTTATTCCTCAATCTCCTCCCTCTCCCCCTCCCCACCCTCCTTCCTCCCCTCAACCTAAACCCTCATACCCCTCCCCACCCAACCTTCATTACCCTCACCCTTAAGTACCCCCAACCCTCCCCTCCCCCAAGCAACCCTCATACCCCCACCCTTAAGTCCCCCCCACCTTCCCCTCCCCTCCTATCCCCCCCCTCCCAAGCAACAACCAAAGACCTTACAGATGCAGGAGTAGTTCACGCCCTTCCTGATGGAGCGTTTGAAGAAGCAGGAACACCCGTCGCAGCAGAAGACGCCGTAGTGCTTCCCGTAGGACTTGTCGCCGCACACCTGGCACAGCACAGGCACGGGGAGGGTCCTTCCTGAAGGAGGCGCAGCAGGAGGAAGATCGTTAATTGGGGAATGGCTGACAGGTGGTAGAGAGAGGAATGGAGAGAGGAAGAGAGAGAAGAGAAAAGGAGGGAGAAGGAAAGAGATGAAATGGATAAAGAAGAGTTGGTGGTAAAAATGGAGAGAGGGAAGAGAGAGAGGGCGAGGAAAGGAGAAGGATGAAATTGATAAAGAAGATTTAGTGGTAGAGAGAGGAAAGGATAGAGGAAGAGAGAGAAGAGAAAAGTAGGGAGAAGGAAAGGGATGAAATAAATAAAGAAAATTTGGTGGTAAAGAATGGAGAAAGGGAGAGAGAGAGAAGAGAGAAAGAAGACATAAGGTAGGATAGCGAGACAGGAGAAAGGGAAATGTGATGAAATACCGAAAGAGTAATAAAGAAGAAAACAATGTTGTAAAACGAATCAGCTGATGAAATTACGAATATTAAGCTGATGATAAAATTGTGGTGGCAGTAATAAGAAGCATAACGACGTCAATAATATGAGCATCAGTATTGATTGAGACTAAAAATAATAACTATAAGCATGGATCCTCGCACACACTAGCATACAAGTCAACAAACTGTCACACATCATCTTTGCTGTTGCGAGACATTGGCTATAGGGCGGCAGGGGAGAGACAGGGTTATTGTCTCTGGGTTATCTACCAAATATTTCATGACAGTTTCAAATTATTTACGTCTCCCATATTCAGTAAGACAGAACACAACTGAAAGTGTAAAAGTGTATGTCTCGATCTTCACTCGGGAGTCGCGCAACTGTCGAGCGACTTTCACGAGACGGTCAAGCGACAAAATCGCGCGACTTTTGTTTGTCCTGAGCGACTGGTGCAACATTCCCTCTATATTCAGAGATCGTGCTTTGCGATATTATACCTTTGTGGTACAAGATAACAAGAGCTTCGGAAAAACAACGGTCATGATAATCAAAAACGGTAATGATGATTCAAAAAGTATGATAATGACAATAGGAGTTATCATTACATGTCTAGCAAAAAAGGGCATAAACGCAGAAATAATCACAAAGAATATCAACAAAAGCATGATAATGACAATAAAAGTTATCATTATATGTCTAGCAAAAAATAAGATAAAATAGAATAACAAAAAATAATAATAATAAATAAAAAAAATAAAAATAAATAAGATAAGAAAGAAAGAAAAGAAAAAAAGGTCATAAAACGTACAAATGATCACAAAAATATCAACAAAACCATAAACAACAAAAGCCAGTTTATATCTCACAGCAATAACAACCACACTACTGCATGAATAACTCCAATAACTGGAAATAACTCCTAACATGCAAAACGGGCCAGAGAACCGGAGACGAAAGAGAGAATTGCGAAAAGTTATTATCAGACATTAAAAAGAAAAGAAAAGAAAAAGAAGAAGAAGAAATAAACATAATACACAGAAACTTAAAGAGGAAAATGAGGCAATAGACATTAAAAAGAAAAGGAAAAAAAAGTATAACACACAATAAAAGTTAAAGAGGAAAATAAAGCGATAGACAGTAAAAAGGAAAAAAAAAAAAAAAAAAACATAATACACAAAAACTTAAAGAGGAAAATGAAGCGATAGACATTATAAAAAAAAGAAGAAATAAAAAACATAGTACACAAAAAAGATAAAGAGGAAAATGAAGATATAGACATAAAAAAGAAAGGAAAAAAGAATAATACACAAAAAAAAAGAGGAATATAAAGCAACAGACATTAAAAGGAAAAGAAAAAAGACGAAAAAAAGTATAAAACACAAAAAAGAAAAAGAGGAAAATAAAGCAATAAACGATACACTAAAAGATTAAACGAAAACACACACACGAAAAAGACAAAGATTATCATTACGGTCACACACACACACGCACACGAACACCACAAAACACGCACACATACACATATAACCGTTTGCTTACATGTGCGTGTGTGCGTATGTTGCATCCCTTGCAATAACATTAGACAATGAAGTATGAACACGTGCTAGGGTAATAATTCTGCAATTGATTAGCAATGCTGATCGATGGGGTGAGGGGAGGGGGGAGGAGGAGGCGGGAAGGGGGAGGAGGCGGGAGGAGGGGGGAGGAGACGGGGAGAGGAGGAGGTGATGGGGTGTGGAGTGAAGGGGGGGAGGGGAGAGGGGAGGAGGAGGAGGAGAGATCAAGAAATTGACTTAAAACCGAAAAAAAGAGCGTCAGTATTATTATAAACATTATTGTTATTATTATCATTATTACTATTATTATCATTGATATTATTATTATTGTTATCATTATCATTATCATCGCTAGCATCATTATAATCATTATCATCTCTGCTGTTATTATAATGATTATTATTGTTATGATTATCATTCATATCCTTATAATTTATTATTGTCATTATTATTATTATCATTATTACTACTAATAATTATTATCATTATTATTACTACTACTACTATTATCATGATTACTATTATCATTGTTATCACTATCATTATTAATAGTAATATTATCATCATTACCATCATCACTATCACTTATTATCATCATTATATTACTACTATTACTGGTATCACTAGTATCAGCCCTTCAGCTACAGAGTCACTCAGTCATTCAGTCAGTCAGTCCATCAGTTTGAGTCACCCAGTCCATCAATTAGAGTCACCCGCAGTCAGTCAGAGTCAGTCAGTCAGTCAGTCAGTCCACCAGTTACAGAGTCAGTCAGTCAGTCAGTCAGTCAGTCAGTCAGTTACAGAGTCAGTCAGTCAGTCAGTCCACCAGTTACAGAGTCAGTCAGTCACCAGTTACAGAGTCAGTCAGTCCATCAGTTACAGAGTCACAGTCAGAGTCAGTCAGTTACAGAGTCAGTCAGTCAGAGTCAGTCAGTCCACCAGTCAGTCAGTCACCCAGTTACAGAGTCAGTCAGTCACCAGTTACAGAGTCAGTCAGTCACCCAGTTACAGATCAGTCAGTCAGAGTCAGTCAGTCAGTCAGTCCAGTCAGTCAGTCACCCAGTTACAGAGTCAGTCAGTCCACCAGTTACAGAGTCAGTCAGTCACCAGTTACAGAGTCAGTCAGTCCACCAGTTACAGATCAGTCAGAGTCAATCCACCCAGTCAGTCAGTTAGTCAGTCCACCAGTTACAGAGTCAGTTAGTCAGTCCACCAGTTACTGAGTCAATCCTAAATTGGGTTAAGGCAACCCCTCAACTCAAAAATTTATGAACAGATTTTTATGATTCATTTATTCATTATCATTATCTATTTCTTATTTATTTATTTTTATTACTATTATTATTATTTTTTTAACCTCAGGTGTTTCTTTGCCCAACTTAGATGCTATTAAATTTTAGTGACGATCCGGATCTAGGAATTTTAAAAATGATTCATCAGCATTATGAGATGGGGAAACACGGACATCACCCGTGTACTTGAGAAAGAGGCGATTTTAATGTAATTCTTTGTGTGAATATCTTTATTGTATCAGTGGTCATATTGCCTTGGCGGAGGTATGCGCCCTCTGAGTGCTGCTAGTTATCATTATCATCACTATTAATATCATTGCTATTCATATCGCTATTATCATCATGATCATCATTTTATTATGCACATATGTATGCACACAGACACACAGAAACACACACATACATACATACGCACACACACGCACAAACACACACACATACACCAAGCACACACACACACACACATATACATGTGTGTGTATGTATTATAAATATATTAATATATATATATATATGTGTGTGTGTGTGTGTGTGTGTGTGTGTGTGTGTGTGTGTGTGTGTGTGTGTGTGTGGTGTGTGTGTGTGTATTTATATATATATATGTATGTATGTATATGTATATATATGTATGTGTGTACTTATTTATAAATACATACATGCATATGCAGATGTATGTATGTATGAGAGAGAAACACGTAAAACGAAAAATACATCTGAGATAATTAGATCTTGATACAAACAACTCGAACGTTAAAAACGGAAACACGAGTTTTGGAGAATAACGGTAACAACTTTAAACAAACACGAACTATCAATTCAGTTTAACCAACGCGATTTTACACAGGAACAGCATTTCACGAGAAACAGATAACAACCCCAACAAGAAAGATAACACTTCTTGATAAAACTAACACCGTGATTTTACACACGCTGCTTGAAGACCCGAATATCCATGTTCCGATAGGCAAGATTTCTCTATTCGAGCGAGGGTCGAATATTGATCCAGCTTGCAAGTCATGGTTTGCATCAATAGAGTGTACTGCAGGTTACGTAATACATCTTCCTTCGGGTGTAGGAAGTTCGCGGACCCAAGGGTATGTAGTGTTATATTCTTTGGGTCGGGCCTCGCACAGTTCTAACAAACCGGCCGTATATGTACAGTATATATACATGTAGGCATACAATCAAACACAAACACACCTATCTATCTGTATCTCTCCTCTCCTGCATGTATATATGTATGTGTATGTGTATGTGTGTGTGTGTGTGTGTGTGTTGTGTGTGGTGTGTGTGTTGTGTGTGTTGTGTGTGTGTGTGTGTGTGTGTGTGTGTGTGTGTGTGTGTAATGTGTGTATAATATATATATATATATATATATATATATATATATATATACACACATATATGCATATATGTAAATATATATACATATACATATTTGTGTATATATTATTTATATTATATACACACATATACATTATACATACATATATATATATATATATATATATAATATAATATATATATATACATAAAATATTTACTGTGTACTTCTGTTCTAACTGGACCGATTCAGACCCATGAGCTGGCGTTTAAACAAATCTAAATCCCAAAAAGAAGATGATTTATAGAAAACGAGGCGCGTTAAGCATTCGCACAGAAAACGTAAAGCAACCTTTATCGAACGGATAACGACGCCACAACTCGAAACTTAGCGTCATCTCGGCCGTAGTTAGCAAGACGGATC